ATATTCCTTGCCAATAAAATAATGAGTAATTATTTCTCTTGCCGAAGACGAGTAGGCTGCCCCGTCGCCATTTTGAAATATATTTCGAAGATATCCAAACTACGCTTCTTTCATTGAAAACGTAAAGTAATTACAGAAATATCGATAGATTATAAAACTTTAATAAAATATTATGAAACAGGTATCATCTTATCGTGTAACTGAAAGTGGCTGATAGTTGCGCCATCTATCGGAATAAATATCAACTATTCTTGTTGATTTATCAATTATTCCAGAATTGGCCAAATACCCATTCTTGATTAATCAAGAAAAGTTAACCACGGACGCGTTTTGAACTGTTGGCCCTTATCAACGTGGTGAAAACTGTACCTCAACGACCAAAAAACTGGTATTCAGGCATGATGAGGGCCATCAGCCCGAAACGCGTTCGTGGTTAGCATTCTGAAGTTTCAGATGTATTTAATTGTGACAGGTAAAGAAAAGAATCCGTAAATTAAGAAGTAATAAAAAATTGAATATCTAAAAATAATAATTGATTTCGCAATTTCGTCGCAGGTTATCCCGTAATTGTGATGTGATGAAACCAAACATCGGTCGTACGTCACAAGTCCAATTAGCAGAAGTCGAAGTAGAGAAACAGAATTACTGGAAACTTATTTAACCATGTTCCTGACAAAACACATTCCTCAACTAACTGTGTGAGGGTTTCTAGAAATACTCTCTGAAAACAACATATGTAACATAAAGAGAAAATATTTTAAATTGAAGGATTTATGCTTAGCTGAATTATATGCTTGGTTAGAGATTTGTCTATATATGACTAAATGAATTTTTCTTGTATATAATCTCACTCGCGGTTATTATTTAAAGACTTTAAATACTTTATTTCAGTTCATAGATAGGAACTCTCTGCAATAGATACAGCTCTAAAAGACATCAACATAAACTCACTAAGCAATATAAAAATCTACTCCGACTCAAGAGCAGCCATTTATACCTTTCAAACCTGCTTCTCCAGTCAAGAACCTCTTCTCAAGAGCATTGCTAAGTCTGTAAGCCGACTCCCCGCCAACAGGTCTGTTACAGTGCAATGGCTTCCAGCTCACTTTGGAATTCCTGGAAATGAGCTGGCAAACTCTCTGGCAAAGGCCGGAGCTCTTGGCCTACCTGAAGCCAGAGAATCTACCACCCAACTAGACGAAAGAGACCTCCTCCGTACCATCAAAACCCAATGCTTACAGGAATGGAAATCTAATGCTGCACATGACTGGTACAGAACAGGAGGGACAAACACCGGTTCTGTCCTCCCAAGAGAACAACAGTCTTTGATTTCCTGACTTAAGTCTGGTCATCTACGGACAATGACTTTCCAGAATGGTTGCAAGGTTTTCCTACTATGTACTAAGTGTATTTCTCAACTTGAAACCCCAAGACACATTATTGACGGTATTGACTCATCCATTGATGAGCTCTACTCATCCCCGGCAGACACCATCAAAAGTCTCAAGCTCTACAAGCTTGACACCCTAATATGATTGAGTGGAGATAAGAAAGAAGAAGAAGATTTAAAGACTTAAAAATATTTTTCAAATTATAATTAAATTATATAAATGTATTTAGTTAAGTCCCATGAGATATCACATATACGCTTATAAGTACATGTTGATGTATTCTCTTGGTCTTGTAATAGCTTCACACTCAAAATTAAATTCTCACATCTTGTCTTTTATACTATTCTCTTTAGGACATACTTTCTAAAGAAATTATCAGATCGGATTAACATAATGAGAAAGAGATATTTAAATTAACGACATTATCAAAGCTTCAGTTGCAAGCAAAATAATTTTGAAATAAATAAATATGAATTATTTAAGGTATAATCCAAATTTTGTTTATGTCATTTGATATGTGTGATACAGTACTTCAACCATACCTAATAATCTAACCTTACCTGAAGTTTTGTCATACGAGTAATAATTCAGACATTCGACCGACAATCTGTCATAAAACTACAGTATTCCCAATCAATCGATAGGTATGCCATGGTATCTACATATCTACCATTCGGCCTACAGTTCCCCCATTCAACCGATAGGTATGCCATGGGATTAACAAACCTACCATTTGTCTTACAGTTCCCCTATTCAACCGATAGCTATGCCATGGTATCTACATATCTACCATTTGGCCTTAAGTTCCCCCATTCAACCGATAGTTTTACCATGGTATCTACATATCTACCATTCAGCCTACAGTTCCCCCATTCAACCGATAGTTTTACCATGGTATCTACATATCTACCATTCGGCCTACAGTTCCCCCATTCAACCGATAGTTTTACCATGGTATCTACATATCTACCATTCGGCCTACAGTATCTTCATTCAACCGATAGGTATGCCATGGTATCTACATATCTACCATTCGGCTTACAATTCCCCCATTCAACCGATAGTTATGTCATGGTATCTACATATCTACCATTCAGCATACAGTTCCCCCATTCAACCTATAGTTATGCCATGGTATCTACATATCTACCATTCGGCCTACAGTATCTTCATTCAACCGATAGTTATGCCATGGTATCTACATATCTACCATTCGGTCTACAGTTCCCCAATTCAACCGATAGTTATGCCATGGTATCTACATACTACCATTCAGCCTACAGTATCTTAATTCAACCGATAGTTATGCCATGGTAACTACATATCTACCATTCGGCCTACAGTATCTTCATTCAACCGATAGGTATGCCATGGTAACTACATATCTACCATTCGGCCTACAGTTCTCCCATTCAACCAATAGTAATGCCATGGTATCTACATATCTACCATTCGGCCTACAGTATCTTCATTCAACCGATAGGTATGCCATGGTAACTACATATCTACCATTCGGCCTACAGTATCTTCATTCAACCGATAGGTATGCCATGGTAACTACATATCTACCATTCGGCCTACAGTATCTTCATTCAACCGATAGGTATGCCATGGTAACTACATATCTACCATTCGGCCTACAGTATCTTAATACAACCGATATTTTTGCCATGGTAACTACATATCTACCATGTCTTACAGTCCGTCAGTCAACGTATACTTCAGTCATTACACCAACAGACCGTTATCCACTCTACATTCTGTGTTATCATACTTACCTTTCCGATATTAGCCGACACTTCTAGTTATGATACCACTCCAGTTACCTTGAGTAATGTTCTATTCGGAGTGATATGGATAAGGGGGTCTTCTCCGCCATAGCTAATTGTGCCAAACGGTTTTCATTCGGGGGATCAATGGCTCAATTCACCTGGGTGGTGGAGCTTTCTCATTTTCGAAGCCATTGCCGAGAGAAAAATCAAGGTTATTTACATTGTAATACATAATACACAATTCAATTTTGTCGTGAATAATATTATAAATACCTTTTTTAGAAATGTTGATATCATCTTGTTTGCATATTTTAATTATGTCCAAATAGGTAAGATAAGCTCTGGAAAGTGGTAAAGGAAGAATGGGATCTTTTGAGTATGACCATGATCAGAAAGTGTCTGCTATCGTGGAAAATCAGGTGCCGTTCTGTAAATAAACAAAAAGGCTTTCAAATAGAACATTTGAAAAATTTGAAATATGGTGTTAATTTTTAATATTTTATAATAAAACTTGATTCCTATAAGTGTGAACACCCTCTGTATAATTTAATAATTCCCTTTGAAATTACCAATAACAATATTCTCATCATGATCCAACCTTCAATCCTTCAATGAGAGACCATGATTATTCATGTTTCATACGCTATATTTTATATAAGGTTCTATCATAGGTGTTTTTATTTTTAATGATTTTCCTAATTTGAAATCAATTTTTTACTATATCCAATTATATATTCTTTATCTGAATTTTTTTGCTTCAGAATTATCTTCCTAACTCAGGTTGAGTTTGCAAAATTTTTGTCAGTTGTTTCTTTCAACTTAACTCTAACTATATTGTCACAAAAATCAAAACTGACATGTTATTCGAAGAAAGAAAAAAAAAAAAGAAAAGAACGAAATATTCTGACAAAGAAAAGATCCGCCCTGTTTTCATCATCAGCCTAGATCTGAACGACGGACGACCTTGCTGTAGGGCTCATCTGACCAAGGTCAGGTCCATGGGGAATTCCCTCATCTGGCATTTCCGGTGAACAAGACAGTTTTTTCTTAATTCTCTGGCAACTATTTATAGCGGATATATTTATCCGCTTGCTATTTATGGCGTACAGGAGCTAACTTGTTCCTCTAATTGCCCCTGTGTGATGATTGCTTATTCCATGCACGTGTTGGGTATGTAATGACTCACTCGGCGACAACCTGCACGCAACTTTACGATTGTCCATATATTTTATTTCCCTAATTTATTTAAGTAGCTGTTTTTTTCCTAAAAGATACGGTAGATGTCTCTATTACAACCTCAATAGCTAACAGCCATTACATGTCAATAGCCACTACACTTTCAAGCATCAAGAAGTCTTCCCAAAAGAAAGAATATTTTAGTTTTTAAACTTGAGTCTGATCATCTATATGACTTCCCAAGTGAGTTCAAAGTTTTCACACTATGTACCAAGTACAACCTCCCATCTGAAACTCCAACTACATCATCGACTGCACTAGCTCTTCCAATAGATTCCATTCTCAGAAAACACCATTAAAAAATCTCAAGTCGAAAAACTTTGCACAACTTTACATGTGATTGATCGGAGATAATCAAAAAGAGAGATCGCCTGAAAATATAGATAAATCCAGTGTCTCATCAGAGACTGTTGTTGCTTATTCCTCAAATCGTTTAAACGATCTCCATTAGGCTCCATTGTCTCAGCTCTTCTATTATAGTCCTGGGGTTTTCCCAGAGGTCTTTTTTGGAGGATTTAATACAATTTAATCAGGGACTATGTTTGGGTTGAAATACTCCTCATGACTCGGCCTAATATGACAGAATATTTGTTAAGAGACCATCTCTATGAAAGATCGGATGTATCACGTTAAAAATCTCTGTTCACAGAAGCTAAGCAACGCCATGCCCAGTCAGTACTTGAGAGGGTTGCTACTTGAAAACACGGGGTGCCAAAATTATTTTTTTTTTCAACTTAAAGACAAGTTGCTAAATGACCCCCCTTTGGCAACTTGTTGTTTTAAATTTACAAGTACGCCCCCAATCTTTGTAGTGTAAATTCTAACTGCTTTCTAAATGTATAGACGTGTCAAGACATGTATACACAAGTCGCTAACTTCAAACCATGATTATAATATTCTCTACTATGCTTTCTTGGGATTGTTGAAAGTAGCAAGTCCGCATATTTCTACATTACTATACTCTTGTGTTTGCATAGCATTGTAGTATTGTCTTTGCTAATTGACATATCTGCATATACACACAAACACGCAAAAGCCTTTATTAAGACACACAGGTCTTACAGAGGATTCTCCTTGGGGTTACAAGACGGAGAAACCTATGAAAGTGGGAAATAAAAAATGGAGAAAGATTATATACATATGGTAAATATATACAGATTATAAGAAAAATAAAAAAAAAATAAGAAAGAAAAAAAATTGGAAATATGGATGGGAGAAGTGGAGAGCGAAAAGTGGAAAGAAAACAGGTATTTACATATGGAACAAGTCAATTTAAGCTCTTCTGCTCACACAGCACAGGTGGACCATGTCTTTTTCAAGAAATGTTTAAGAGATTTTCCTTGTAAAGTAAGCATATCTGCATATAGCGCGGCCTTGTTGGATTGTTAGTTGACTAGCTGTTATTGGATAGGGCAGGCCGGCGTGAGCTGCTGATGTGCATATAATTTGATCTCTTTGTCCTTCTTTTATTGTTTTATACCTTTAGGTAATAAAGGATCTTTCTCTTCCTCAACGAATCTATAATTTTTCCCCAACAGGTATAAGTAAAACATTTGTTAAAATTCAACATGTGGAATTCAATAAATCATATTTAATGCGACGTCGTTTGTGAAATAGCAGCATCATCTTTATGTTTCTCTTTTTATATTAAACTTGGTATAAAAACTGAATTTGAAAAATAAAACGCCTTTTCATTTGTAAAATATACAGTATATCTTTGAATTTTCAGGGTAGATCGTCTAAGAATATATCAGTAAACATGCAAAATAAATTAACTTATGGATATTTTACAGGGCCAAACTATTCACTATCGTTTGAAAACTATTATCCTCATCACATATCTTCCTTCAAACGAATAGAGGCCTTGAAGATTTAACTTTATAGAAGAGCACTATAGATTCCATGGAAAGTTGAAATGACAAACAGGTTCTTGTTCAAATGGTAACAAAGCGCTAGCTTATGATATTCATAAATCAACGAAATATGACGTTTTCTGAACTTGTAATGCGTTGAGGAGGAGACACTGCTGACGGTTCTCTGTGTGTGTTTGAAGTAAATAATCCTGGGAAGAGACCGCAGACACAAAGACGGCGAGAGCATATGGACGACCTGAAACAAAGGACTGGACGATGCACATACGAGGAGATAAAGCTAAATGCGGAAGATCGGTAAATATGGAAAGACCATGTGGTCACTCTCAGTATAATAAGGCATGGAAGGAAGAGAAGGGGTAGCTTTATTTCTCAGATATACTAAGGGGAAAACATCGAATTAAGGCAAGAACAAACTATGAATGATTAAAAAAAGATAAGCAATAAGGGAAGTTTACAGAGTAGTAAAATCTAAACATAAAAAATGATACTCTGTTAATAAAATAATAAATACTTTGCTACAATATTTAATTGAATTCGATCATAATTTTGGACTGAATAATTAATATTATTTCGATAGGTTCCATTTTTCTTTAATTTTGTAGATCATCTGTTGGTTGGAATTTTGTTTAGAAAAAAGATCTGGCTGAATCTCAACTAATTTTTCATTTAGTTCCCTTCGTTTCAATGACACTTTGTCTCTTATTTTAGATGTAGCCATAATATTTTTCTAAAATGTTTTAAAAGTGATTTTTAATACAGTAGAACCTCCCTGTAAAGGACACCTAATTGCAGAGCCAAAATGTCCTTTAGGGAGAAGTGTCCTCTTACCAGAGAGTTGCTAAATTGTAAAAATGATAATTTTGCAAATAAAAAACTGTCCTTTGTAGAGAGGTGTCCGCTAGCGGGGTGTCTGCTAAAGGGAGATTCTTAAGTATTATAAGCTCACTAATTGAACTCTGAATTCATGAATTGTCTAAGAGGTTTTGAATATGCACTATAGAAATATTAATTATCAACTGAGTTATTTCTAATTTTCCCCAAATTGAAATTCATATCTAACGAAAACCAACGATCAACCAGTCAAAATAGTTCTGTTCCAATATTGCCTTATCAATCATCATTCGTAAATAGGATCTGATCTCTTTGTTCCCCGTTACAGGAACCTTGAAGGTGAATAGTCATCAAAACATTCCACAATCATCAGATTTCAAGGTGTTTCGACCGACTTACATCCTGGAGCTGGGGATCGCCAAGAAATTTCCCTGCGGCGACGTCACACGGGAGAGTCAGCACGACGGCCTTGACCTCTGTCTGGTCACTTCCGTCGAGCGGTGGTTCCCCAAGCATTGTCCCATCGTTCTGACTCATCCGACGTATTTTCACCTTTCTTTATGGACACGGAATCGTTTAAAACACGATTTATGGCTAAAATTATATATGGATGAAAAAGATAAACATTTATATGACGCGACTTTCTCGTATATTTGAATATTTCCTGTTTACGCCAACTTCTTTTATTACAACATAAACACATATAGATGAGATTTTAGATAATAGACAAAATAATATTTTTTATTCTTCTAATAAATTGTTACAAAGGTGGAGAAAAATATATAATAAAATAGTAAATAAAGGGTAGATAAAATGTAGGGGAATATATATAGTTGTGTATGTGTACAAATTTCTTCAGCAAGGAAGGCTTCCCCACCTTGAGAGAGTCCTCCTCCAGACAAGGTCTTTTTGAACACTCCTCAGTTCCACACCGAGGAAGTACCTATAGATGTGTGTCTTGGCAGACGTCAGGATGGCCAGGGCGTCATCGTCTAGGTCATGTCCGAAGCCCTGTAGGCAGATGAGATTTTAGAGAACATCCTTATTCTACATCTTGCCACAGTATCTAAAATAGGTGTAGAATATGAAGATTCTCCGAAAGCTCATCTTTTTCATTTTTGATGGAATAAAAGAATTTGACGCAAATGGAAGCTATATGTTTTCAATTAGAGAATAATCTATATTGATCTATCTCATTCGACATTTTACCGATTTGTTATTGAGTCACCCGACTTTGTTTTATATTGTCACGAAATTGGTTTTATGTAAATCAAATGTAAAGCAAATGTCTCTATTAGTAAATATGTAAATACTTTTATGTTTAATGTTATATAAGGAAGGTATGTAAATTCTGTAACTGATTTTTCATTTTCTTGTTTCTAGTTTTGTTGTGAGGGAAACATCACTCACAAAGTGTCTCAATTGATTAATAAAATTCTCATTTAAACTGTGACAATACTATACTAGCCGAATGACCCGGACAACGCCCGGGTTTTACCCGATTAAATGTTTTTATTCAAATACTATTCGTTACAATTATAAATTGGCGCCGTGGATGTCACTCTTGTGAAACGTCCCGCTCCAAACTTTGTGTGTTTTTAAAATATAAAAATAAAAATGTAAATTTTCACAACGATATTTGAAAATTGTATTATTTTGATTGTATTATTTTTGATGCCCCTACGCTGTCATTACGTCACTCAAGGTCACTATCCAATCCCGTCGCGCCGTGTGAGGGCACCAGGTGGTTGTTTACTTCTCGAAGTTACCGCAGTGAGGCGCTGGTTACGAGTGAAATAGGGAAAATTTGTTGGTAATTTTTTAAAAATCTCCGAGGATATTCGATATAGAAGCCTGAAAATTTCACTATAAGTTTTTCCAGATTCTACTCTATATAATGTTGATATTTCAGTCAGATTAGTTACGTATTGTGAACGTGTATAGCCGACAAACATACATACATACATACATACACTGACATATCTTTATAGGGATGAAACATTAAAAGCAATGGGAGGATTGCATGCTCATATTTTATATGATGTAAAGATATTAGTCCGTTGTACATCTTGGATGTACTTCCAGTATTTATTATTGTTGACAGGACCTACTCTTATCAAAACTTTGAAAAAGAGAAAGGAATAAGCTTCCTTTATGATGTAGCTGCTCTTTGTTTTATAAGAATCGAGTTCTATCATTAATATTGTAGAGAAGTATTTATTATTTTATTAACAGATTATCATTTTGATGTTTATATTTTACTACTCTGTAAACTTCCCTCATTGCTTATCTTTTGTTTATCATTCATAGTTTATTCTTGCCTTAAATAAATTGTTGTGTCATGGAGAGAGGACCTAAACCAAGACGGCGGATCACGACTTACGAGAAAGACAACGAATAAATAAACACAATAAATTTAAAAGGTAATTTACTTCCATTTACTTTTCTTTATTTGTTTTAAGTATGGAAACCCGCTCGGTGTGTAACACCAAGAAGGAGGAAACCAAGGTCGATGACCCTGCAAAGCTGCAAATTGGTGAAACAATATATATATATATGTCATAATATATGCTCTTCCTGGAATAATAAACCAAACCTACAGTCAACCCAGAGAGAGACGGGCAGCTAAAGTCCGGTCATTTGAGACACCAGCGACATTCCAAGGGGCGACCAGAGGGGCCCGGAGTTCTCGGGACTATTAAGACAGGATGTAAGGTCCGATCACTTGAGATATCAGCGACATTCCAAGGGGCCCGTTACTTGGAACCTCAGCACTATTAGGGCAGTAGGTGATTGTGTTCGACGCGAGCGGACGCCCGGCGGTTGCCGGGCCCGTCATTTCTCTCTGGTTGTCTGGGTTCATCTTCCAACTTGTGGTGTCCTTTTTTCTCTTTCCCCACATTATTATTATATTGTCACATATATTAACATATAAGCTATTCAAAGACGAAATTAGACAAATAACAAACTATTTTGCATATTTTGTGATATGCATAATATTGCATAATTATAATT